TACGTTCAAGATAAATAGGGTAAATTCAAAACTTACCATTGATGTTCATATTTCACCCTTTGTCGACTGTATTTCTTTCATAGTTTACTAGATTGGAACAATTAATTTTAGCTGTGATAGGTGCATTGTTGGATAAGAATAATGTGGCTAAATTTTCTCTCCCAAATAAATGACTTTTCTTAGCCTTAGCATTATCACTGAAGAGTATTGCACAGTTTGAGTCAATTAAATTGCATTTTAGTTTAGAAGAAACACTAAATTAAGCAGAAAAGATTAATATTCAGGAATCTAGTTTGAACTGTCTTAAACATAAATTTCTTAGGATAAAAATCCAGCTTTGCTGGGACACTTTAACCATGCCAGTTATTTCATGCACTTTTGTTGGGATTGGTTTCTACTGAATGTTGAATGATTCTGGTGAACCCTTTCTAAGACCTGCTTTCTTGTTGTAATGCATAAGTCAATCTTCTAAATGTATTGAAAACAATTGCTACTTTCGCACAAATATTCCTACTTCATATTTACTGTCCCATCTCTATTTCAGAAGAGCAAAGCTATAAGTATTTGGTCAAAAATGAGGCCAATGAAACTCAATAAAGTTTTCTTGTAAGCGAGTATGAAACCTACCACTTCACATAATGCAAAATTTTTGTGCATAAAGCATGTTGGCATAAAAAAACCCTGAAAAAGCTGTATGCTACATCTTTGCATACAATGAATAATTCTGTGCAATGCTCTCACACTGACCCATCTTTATATATCATGATCAAATCCTACATTAGTTTGGTCATTAGTTCTGTGTTTATGCCAAATACTAAATGGCAACGGTCCAAGTCATACATGTGTTGAGGATTTGCAGTCAGACAAGCACAAGGAAATAAAACCATGTCCATCAATTACAATGTCAGGCCAGGCTTTCTATGCAAAACTCTTTTCAAGTAAGCATTTGGAAGGTGCTACTCTCCTTGAAGAATATGCAACACGGGGAGGAATCCTTTTTGTTCAGAGAAAGTTGGCCCTTAAAGGGATACAGTAACTGTGGCAATATGAGCTTCTCCTTGTAGTAAAATTTTAACTGACTACTATATACAACATTTACACTCCCATGTCAGTTGAACTGATGGAGAATGAAGTGTTGCAATAAGTCTGGAGATGGGCAGTGATGCAATCACCATCTCAGTTTCTTGCTATTAATATATGTCTCTTACTCATTTTTAAAGATAGCCTAAATGAGAGTACTGAATATAAATGGTTTTTGTAAGTCATTCAGGTCAGTGAAGCATGTCATTGTTTGCATCTAGGGTTCCACAAAAGCCTCGGTTGGATGACAGGCTCACTATATATTTTTCTCATAGATAAAAAACATAAACAATATTCAGTATTTTTAATTAAAATGAAAAGAGAATATTGTCTACAGTGAATTTCTAGAGGGAGAAATGGTTGCCAGTGTTTTCTAATGGTCTGACCTTACTAGCTCATCTTTTGAGGAGGACGTGATGCCTATATGCCAGTCGCATATAAATTATTTCTCTGCTTATGCATTAGCAAATGTTTGATTATGATTTATTTTGGGGTTCCCTGAAAGATGAAGGGAGTTCTTTCTAATATTAGCATTACTAATGATTTTAATGAGGCATTAAAATGTTGCAAGATTCTAGGAACATTTTTCTTTTTAAATATAATTTCATTAATAGTTTACATGAACATTCTTGCAGAATTAAGAAACCCACAAGAATTATCCACAAGCTGTCAGTGCCCTTCATAAACTACCAGATGGGATTTCCCAACTTATCCAAAAACACTAGAAAAACACTCTTAAGAGCTCAGTGAGGACAGAGATGTTTGGAGAATGCCATCTTTGGGACGTTAAAACGAACTAATCCAATCTACATCAGAACAAAGTTATTCCAGAGACTTCATGGTTCTCTAGATTTTCCAGATGGATCAGAATTTAGTGAAAATTGTAATGCAGTAATGTGGTTCTCTGAATTCTGTGCAACAAAGCACAGATCAATAAAATATCAGAAAGAACTTACCATCCTGAGATGTTTCATTTGCAAATATGCATTTTGTACAAAAATATATTTAAAAATACTGACTTAAATACATAATTACATTTTTTCTTAAAATAAAAACCGCAAGTTAATGCAGAAATATATAAGAATGGATTTTTGAACAGATGTCATTAGAAAACAGAATTTGCTAAAACATCAGCCCTTAAATTTTTGCACCTGACAGTGTGGAAGCTTGTCCTACTTTATTCACTGAGGTTTAATCCCAAACCCATGCTACAGACATACAGAATCTAGGCTGGAGAAAGTTTACTCTGCAGGAAGGTCACTGAATAATTCAGTATGATTTAAATATAGCAGCGTGTGCAGAGGGGTGTGGGAGTCAAAGCAGGCAAGGTCACTATCATGACATTGTCCTCAAAGCTTCACCCCTTTATATGTGCATGTAACACAAAAAGGAGCTGGGCTTGGATCACAATGCCACAACCACTAGCTTAATAATAATAATAATAATAATAATAATAATAATAATAATAATAACAACAACAACAACAACAACAATAATAATAATAATAATTTGGAAGGGACATTGGAGGCCATCTAGTCCAACCCCCTGCTCAGGCAGGAAACCCTATACCATTTCAGACAAATGGCTGTCCAATCTCTTCTTAAAGACTTCCAGTGTTGGAACATTCACAGCTGCTGGGGTTAGGTTGTCCCACTGGTTAATTGTTCTGTCAGGAAGTTTCTCCTTAGTTCTAAGTTGCTTCTCTCCTTGATTAGTTTCCATCTGTTGCTTCTTGTCCTGCCTTCAGGTGCTTTGGAGAATAGCTTGATTCCCTCTTCTATGTGGCAGCCCCTGAGATATTGGAACACTGCTATCATGTCCCCCCTCGTCCTTCTCTTCATTAAACTAGACATACCCAATTCCAGCAACCATTCCTTATATGTTTTAGCCTCCAGTCCCCTAATCATCTTTGTTTCTCTTCTCTGTACTCTTTCTAGAGTCTCAACATCTTTTTTTACATTGTAGTGACCAAAACTGGATGTAGTATTCCAAGTGTGGCCTTACCAAGGCATTGTAAAGTGGTATGCCTGTTTGGATATTGCCAAGCCCTGTTTGGATATTGCAAAGTTGTCTCTAGGTTTGAGATCATAATATAGCTTGCATAATATAGCATGGGTATGTTTGTGGTGAATCTGAGCTTTGGTTGTGTTGTGACACATTGGCCAAAATGTATCAGAAGGTGACTAGAACTGTCTTCATTGTTAACAGGAAATATTGTAGGTTGGATGGGTACCACTAAGGCCGATGTTCTGATCTATTCTTTCTCTACTTTACTAAAAAAAAAAAGTAAAAGCCTCAGTTTTGATCAAAGTTATCATGGTAGAATGCGATCATATAGAAAATCACAATTTGAAATATGAATGGAGTAAATCATAAACATGGGAATTAATATTTTCTTTTTTCTTTTTCATGCATTTATTTTTTTGTTTCCTGCTTCTTATTTCTTTTCTGTGCATTGCATAATGTACTTACCTTGAAATGAATAACATATGCATGCATGTATATTCAGTCAGAGTTACCTCTGAAGAAACTGCATAGGATCTGGCTACATGAGGTCTAACAAATTAGATTTCATGAACTAGAGCAGTGGTAGCGAACCTATGGCATGCATGCCAGAGGTGGCACTCGGAGCTCTCTCTGTGGGCAAATGCACCAGTGCCCCAGCCCCTCCTCTCCCACAGCCCCTCCTCCTCCCCAGCAGTCCCCCCAGAAAGTTGCCCCGGAGCGCAGTCCGCGCAGAGCAACAGAGCCAAGGGCATGGCAGCCAGGCAGCGGGGACAAGACTCTGCCCTCGCGCCCTGTCACACGCAGATGATGCTGCGGGGCATGGGCGGAGGGCATGGTCACCATGGGGCTGCTGGGCTGCTTGGGTGATCTGCTGTGGTGGGCCGTAGAGGCAGTGGATGGCCATGTGGGTAGGTGGGGTGCAGAGCGGGGGTGAGCGGAGAGGCGGGGACGGTTTTTGGGCACTTGGTCTCTAAAAGGTTCACCATCACTGAACTAGAGATTCATGTCTCAAAGAACTTAGTACACAATTAATCTGTTACTTTTACTTTACAAATAGAGACCATTAGCTTTATTGCATTGCACAGAGCAAATGGCAGTATTAACCTATAGAGAGTGTTTCTAAAGGCAAGAACAAAACAGTGCATTAAAAGTATTTCTGTTAAATTTAATATTTTCTCCAACCTTGGCCCCTCAGATGTGTTGAATTGGCTCAGTGGCAATTTCAAAGGAATTGCCTGCACAGATTGAGGCAAAGAACCTATCATTTTTTGCTGCTGTCTGTGACAAATCTGCATTCACACTAAACAACCTAATTTTTGAGTTAATACAATAGAACCATGAACTAATCAAACAGACCACCTGCTAAGCCACAAAAAGCCCATGTAAAATTTCTATAGAACCAAGCTTAGTTTATGCTTGCATTTTCTCTGCTTGAGCTGTACCTACTTGACTAGGTTCATTGTATTCTGTGCCCATGGTCAAAGAACAGTACAATGAATATATGATGGTATTGACTTGAATTAGACCATGGAAATCACTAGGTGTTTGAGGGCAAAACATGGTCTCTCAGCCCAACTTATCACATATGATTGTTATGAGGAAAAATTACAGAAGACCTCACCTTCAGCAACATAGGTTGCCTTGAATCCAGAAGAAAGGCAGGATATAAATGTAATTTTCATACATGATTCACATATACAGTACATTCTATAGATCACAGGTGTCAAACTCGCTGCGTCATATGGTGTGTCATGACATATCACAACTTTTTTTGCATTACTGGAGCTGGGATGGGCATGGCCTCTGCATGATGCAATGGACCCAGGGGCCGGCAGTTTGACACCCCTGCTATAGATGATTGGGCAGCTTCCTTCACAACATCTGCGAAGCAGGGCAGCCTAGTTTAGGAAAATTCTACTATTTATCTTCCAACATCTACTAGGATCTGTCTTTTTCTGCATTAACAGCTTACTTGTTAATGTAAGCTGTTCAACAATTCCAAGTTGAGCAACAGCCAAAACTGATGCGTGTGTTCTCAAAATTACAGAGTTGAAAGACATTTACTGCCAAAGAAGCAAACATCAGATTAAAGAACTACTGCTAAATTTGGAACAAGGATCCATTATCTTCTGACAGCATCTGTAAGGTACTACTTACAGTTCTTTAGTAGGACTTCTTGTTTGGATATATTTTAATTTGGGTAAGGAGAAGACAAATGCATGGGTGATTTAACTTTGGATAAAGGAACATCATCAATAACAAAAACCATGCTGGAATCTGACAAATCAATAAAATCTTGTTTATTGCTACTATTATGGGATAGTTCCTCTTTCAGAGAGATTAACTGACTCATAATAAATACTGACTGGGGAGGGGCATTTTTAAGTTGGAATTGCTCCCAATACATCACTTAGCAAGAAATTTGAAACCTTTCTTCATTAAAGTTTGCAGGACTTGGAAAAATTTGGAAGAGTCCTATGATATATAGGCAGAATCTGCTAAACATTTAAAAGGTATTATATCTGACTCAGCCACTGTTTGGTGGCTGGACCTGTATATCATATGGGGTATGGAAAACCATGGTGGGTGGGTCAATGATGCTGAGAAAGTAAAGCCATGTTACATATGTCTCTTCTTTCCCTTTCCTTTAAAGATTTGGGGTTTTCATTTTTGTCTTTTTAGCGATGAGTTAAAACCTCTTCTAAGTCTCACCCTACACTTTGCATGTGTCCTTTACAAAAGTGGCAGAAAAACAGCATGCCCATTTCACAGTGGGCACAGGTTGGAATTTCAAGAGATTTACTCTGTCCCATACCAATTCACAAATTTGAAATATGAAAAAGTTTGCTTTCTACCACCACTTAAATGTAAGCAACAGACATTATGTAGATAAGTCAAGGTCTCCATGTGCCTGGTGGCATCAAAGAAGAAAAAATACTGAGGTGGGGTTGAGGAAGAAATGATATTGAATAATTCCATCAATATGTGTAAGACATTAAATAGTCATGTGTTATATGTTTTGTGCAAGATTGCCCACTTCCCTGAGCAGCCATTGGTAGTGGAATGTTGCTTGGTTCTCCTACTTCCCTTGTTGTAACTTCTTATATGAAAATATTCTGCCAAAGGAATGGGATCCCATACTTTTTATCAATCTGGTGTTGCAGTTTTCACTAACAGAGAAGCCTCCTTTGATACCACAGAGGGAGAAATACCGCAGAAACAAAATATGATTACACTCACTCCACTTGTCTAAACAGTGAAAAGTTTCAGGGATCCAGCATTTGCCCTAGTTTAATTTCTTATAATTTCTTTGCGAAAAATTTGCTGGAGTTTTCTTCACAGTGGGTAATATTTGCATTTTAAGAACAAATACATGGATTGAACCAATTGGGGGGGGGGATTTTACTCCATCAGTCTATCATAGTCTTCTCTCTAGATGCTAGAGAAATAGCTAGAACTCCAACATGCTGTTTAGTTTACATACAATTTTTGCATCAATTATCTCTTACTTTCTCTTCTTTAACTGTATTCTTATATACACTCCTAAGCTGTTCCTTTTGTGGCTAGAGTGAAGAAGTAAGGCAGATTTCTCTACTCGTCATCTATTATAGTATCCCCAGCAATATGCCACCAGTTGATTTATTTCACAAATTCTTGATCTGCCTGTCAGTTCAAACATTTTAGCAATCTTTATTTAGCCAGAATACCACAGCTGACAGCACCTAGGTGATCTTGGCTAATCAGAGTAAGCTAATCAAAGTAAATTCTAGTTAGTTTTTAGATGAGGTATAAACAGGAAATCCCATAGCTGTATGTTAGACTGAGACACTGAAAAATATTCTGGAAAAAGGCCACATCACTTCCTTACTCAAGAAAACAGGAAGATTGAGTTCATCAAGTCATTAGGAGGGAGGTTTAACTCAAGGAAAACTTTATTATTTGGCCGAAGTCCAGTCTTACAACTAGAAAAAAATAGATTTGAAAGGCATCACAGAGCTTATGATTGCATGAATGTTATGTGCCTTTCCTACTTCAACAGAAAGTAGACATTGCATCGCAAGTTTTAAAGACCAGCTTTCTTAGTTTGAAGCAAGCCTTCAAAGACTTTACTTCTTAATTTGGACCGGTGTGAGCATTCAGCATGGAAAAACTGAGGGATTGCCAGAATTGAAGAGCCTAATTAGCTGTTACGTTATTACCTATTCTATGTTACTTTTTTGCTTTCTCTTTTGCCAGGAGCAACCATAGTGGCCTATAACTAAAATGCTGTGAGAGGAGATGGACAGTTTTTTACCTGACATCTTCCAGCAGTAACTACTTATAGTGATATCTGCTTCAGTGGCAAGATAGATACAGCAGCTACATGGGGAAATGGTTAATTCTCATGCTATGAACCTGATCTAGACCTGATTAGATATGGTCCAGATCCATCTATCCCATCCCTGGAAAAAATATTTTCAAAATCATGCTCAGCAATGTTATCCAAATATTATCTGCTGCCTGCCATTGATTAAAGAGACAGCATTTTGGCATTTAACAGAGGATAAAGTATTAGCACCAGTTTGTTAATGGTGAATTGCTTGTTTCATCCTATACTAAAATAACCCCACAGCACATCATCTGCTTACTTCTGCAGCCAAGATGAGTGCAAGCTTTTCTGAGCTCAAGGCTAAGAATCTGAAATAAACTTCTGTCTTCGTTGATCTCTCAAAAGATTGTTTAGTTCTCTGTAGAGTTCAACTTAGGAAAAATGTGATTCATGCCTTTAGAGCAGGGGTGTCAAACTGTTGGCCCACGGGCCGGTTTCATCATACCAGAGCCACACCCACCCCATTGCTAGCAATGGCAAAAAAGCTCTGATATGTCATGCGACGTCACGTGACATCGCGAGTTTGACATGCCTGCTTTAGAGGGATCATTAAAGCCTACTTAATAATTTTCTTCCCAGCTGGCATCAATCATTTGGATTGCATTCTAAAATACACATGGATCAGACGTGTCAAACTCGCGATGTCATGTGACATCGCCCGACAATGGGGTGGGCATGGCTTCCATGTGACACATCTGGCCCGCAGGCCAGAAGTTTGATACCCCTGACATAGACCATGTTCAGATATTTGAAATGATACTGAAGATTTGCATAAACAAATTGTATCTTTTAACAAAAATAATTGGGGGGTAATTTGTGTGTGTTATTGTCACTGTCTCCATTTATATACTATATTTAATTTTTTTTTTAAAAAAACCAATACTTCAAAGATAGCTCCAACTAGCTATTATGGCAGTTTAATCCCAGTAAATATCAGAGAGTTGGCTGCATTTTATATAAAAATGTCACAACGAAAGTAGGATAATAAATATATTAGCCTTCCTAATTTTGGCTTGGGGCAGTATGCAAAATAATTTGATGATTTCTTACAAGGCAAAATTTCTGGTTGGATTCCTCCTCCTCTCTCCCTCCCCCCCAAATGTATCATTAAGGAACAAAATTTATTAGCAACTTTAGATGCATGGCTGGACACATAAGCACAAACCTATCCCAGTGAGATTCCCTTCACTTGAATGGTGTTTAATATGGCATCTTGAATGCATAACTGTTATCCCCCTCCTATTAAATGAAGATATATTATCCGTATTTGTCTTAAGCATTCTGTTTTAACACTCTGCATATATATTCATTAGCACCTGGAATAAGAGTAGGTTTGCACTTTTACAATTGCTGCTTTTTCCTTATTTCCCAGGGATGGCCTAGATACAAGAGCTCCATGTTCCTTCTCCTTTGCAATTTCAGTGTCTGTCATTCACATGTAGAAAACTCAGCTCTCTATTTAACACATTGCTGGTGAGAGATAGACATTTACAGGGCCCCTCTGCCCTTGAGCTGTTCCATTAGTGCATGGAAAGCACCTTGCAGTCTGTGACAAGCGCAGCAGATCGGCACTAAATCAAAAATCAGTGCCAGCCAGGGATCTAAGCCACCATGAAGGTCACAGACATCAACCGCATGCCATCTCAATCCAAACAAAACACACTGGATACAGAGGGATTTTCGCAACTCACAATAGGAGGCAAACATGTCATGTTAGAATAATCCCCTCTAGCAGCGAAAAGGGTAAACTGACCTTTTTTATATAAGCACTTTGGCATCCTTAATCAAACTTTGAAAGAGAATGGTAGTAATTTGGGGGTGATTGTTTTAATGCTGCAATTGAAGCTCTGGCTATTGAGCTGCCTTTAGGATGAAGAAGTTATCTTTTTTATAAGATGCTGATCTAATATTATTATTTAGTCTTTTTTTTAAAAGTCCAATATAAAAAATGGTGCTCATATGTGATGGTCACCAACTAATGTTACTAACTATTCTGTCATTTTTACAATGTTTAATTGTTAATGTTTTGTGCAGTTATAGAAAATGATAATGATGATGTTAGAGAGGCAAGCTAATGCATAAGCCATTCAGAAATGTGGATGGAAACTATCCTGTCTCTGGGCCCATAAAGAAGGGAAATAGATGTGCATTTTATGAGCTCTAGGATGTTTTGCTGGAATGCAAGAGACTGAACAGCGGGACTCCCTGGTTTTCATGATTCCATGCACGCGCCTCCCCAAAACCTACAGAGGCCATAGGAACAATTTCTTTGCAGGGTCTTTTCAAAAGGTATGTGCTTCTTTCCCAATGAATCAAACAGCAGAGGCTCCTTCCATGTAACAGAGGGAACCGATTTGCTTCAGTGAGCCGAGGGTGTATGGGGCGGAATGGGGGAATGTGTTCGCTTGGTGCACTAAGGGCTATTTTTAATTTTTAACCATTAGTTCCAGAGATGGAGACATGCTTTGGTTCCTCATACCAGAAGCAAAATATAAAGACTAGCAGAAATTTGCAGGATTGTGGACAATGAGAGAAAGAAAATTGCTCTCTCATTGGGTAGATTATAAATAGGTAACCAAAAAAACTTCTTCCTCCTATAGGCTGCATTTTACCTCTGCTCAGAAATGTTTTTAGAGCAAAGCAGCTTAACAACTTGCTTTTTCTTTGGGTTGCTCTTGGGGAGGTGAGCATTTCTCCTAGGAATGGCTTTCTTGGATCCTCCACTTCTTTTGATACTGCGCGCTGTTTTTAACAGCCAGTTTATTATTGGACAAGGG